AATTTTTCAAACTGAAAATTAATTTAAGAAAATTTTACAAAAAAGAGCTGGTTAAGCAGGATCTCTTTTCTCTCTTTTTTGAAAAAAAGTATTTGGCCGAAAATCCAAATGTTGTGCCAAGTACCTAAAAACATGTTAAAATCTGGTTAATTTTTTTTCCTTTTTTTACGGTCAAAAAATTAATGAACATGCTTTTTTACATAAAATATCCATTGCCCAGAATTTTGAGATTTAACTTTACAGCACTAACTTAAGAATTATTTTATTATGATAATATTTAAATATTTAAGTGTAATTTATTTATATAATTAATATTTGGTTTGTTTTAATTTTACTTTCTTTTTTTTTCTTTTGTTAATAAGCTTTTTTTTTCAGCGCCTTATTTTTTATTTTTTTTAACCTTTATCTTTTCACTAAAAAATAAAGGCCACAGAACATTAAAAACATTTTATACCAGCAATTTTGTGCAGTATTAATTCTTAAATTCATTTTTTAATTATGAATTTAAATTCTAATTTTTAGCATAATTTTTATTGAATTAATTCTTTGCTTATAGATTATCGCAAAGAGCTGTATGCCTAAGTCATTCATGAACACATCGATAAAAGAATAATGGCGACTAAAATCGTGCATATCAAAAAAATATTACGATTTAAAAATATTCGATCCGTCAGTCGTCTGCTTTTTTTTTAATCGTTTTCAGCGACGAATTGTAAGTGAAGCGTCCTTTTATTTGATCAAAAGACAGATTCCTTCACGTTCAAAGTCGTTTTTTTTTTTTCTGTTACGAGGCCAACGGACACTGCATTTTTTTTTCTAAGTGTTTGAACCAATAAGAAAGGAAGACTGGACATTGTGACCACTCACTTGTTTGAAAACTATATGTTTCGCAAGAATTTAAAAACAATAGAGTTTTTTCTGTGACTAACAATCTTAATCCTTTGAATTCTCTGTGTTATGGAACTTGAATAAGTGATAATGACCATTTAAAATACCATAGAGTGCGTGATCACCGTCACAAAAACTTTAAACCTTATCATAAAAAATCTAACAATAGGATGTTTTTATGCTATATATTCGAGGAGGGAAAATGGAGCATAACGTTATTATATGAAAAGATTCACATACTAATCTTGAAGTAGCCAATATAAGCAAACTAATTTCCGAATTTAAAATTTAACTTCATTCTCCCTATGAATATTTAACATTCTAAATTTAATTGTGAACAAAGTTATAAGCTATAAATTAAAGCAAATTATCAACAAAGTTAGAAAATTGTAAGTAAATATTAAGCAAAATATAGGCTTTTATGTATATAGAGAAAACGCAAGAAATATTGAGAAATTTTTCATAGTGTACCGACGTTTCCTATAAAAAGGGGAATAGTATTATATAGTATAGCGAGAAGGTATAGTATTATATAGTATAAAAAGGGGAATAGTATAGCGATAATTTATTATACTTTATGAAAATTACCATGCTGAAGTTAAAAATAAAAAGATTTTTGAATCTGTAATAAAATGAGAAAATTAATAGCTTAATATTAGTCTTTTTATTTACATAACATGCTAGAAACCGTTCCGGAATTTGAGCTCATGCTTTTGGACTTGGCAGTTGGGATAGAAAAAAAAAAAGATTGACATAGCAATTAGGCTCCCTTTCGCAGCAACTAATTCGTACATAATTATTTTGATTTGGCCTCGTGCTTTGTCTAATAGAAATAATATTTGGGGCAAATTTTGAAAGTTATAGATAAATATTAAAAGTTAAATATTGGTCTTTATCTGTATGCAGAAAACACAAGAAGTATTAGAAATTTTGCATAGTGTTCAGACGCTTTCTTCGTTTTCTTTATAACGTGTACATTAATAACAATATTTTAAAAAATTTTGTTAAAATTGATTACAATGAATTAATTACACTGAATTAATCACAATGAATAAATTACTTTGTAGAAAAAAACGTTAAAAAAGAGCAAAAAAAAGATTTTTAAATCTGTAATAAAAAGAAAATATTAACGGTCTTTTTATTTACTTATGCGACAAAATCCTGCGAAAAAAATCCCGGGATTCGAAATCACGCTCCTCACATTGGCAGTTTCCCGCCTGCATAGCATAAAGCGGGACAGTGATCATCTGGCAGATTAATGAGAATCAAGATTCTGAGTTATTTTCGAGACTTAGCATAAGGCGCACAATGGAACCACATTATACCTCATAGTGCTGCTCCTAATTTGTCTATAATTTTGCAGCTAGGTATCGAAGTTTACATCGTAAAAACCATAAATCTGACCAAGTTTTAAATTATAGATCAATAATAAGAGAAGTTACAAGCAATTATGTAATTATATTCCTATATTATAAAGTGAGTATAACATCATAATTAATCTCCTTTGTGCCTCAACTAATTCGTCTATAATTTTTTTTTTTTTTGCCTAGACCTCGTGTTTACTCATATTTAAATGATAAATGAAGCAAGTTTTGAAAGTTATAAATAGATATTAAAAAAAATTGCACGCTGTAAAAAAAGGGGGGGATTAGGCACCCTTATGAATGAACTAATTTATCCATAACTTTGCGGTTTGTCCTCATGTGTACCTATATTTTATTTTAGAACCGTCGTTGAACAACCGACTCAAAAAGGAGTTCACGCGTACTAAACTTCAACTCCGTAGCTTTGTCATTTTGAATTCAATCCAGAAGACAGGGAACTCCTGGATCAAGTATTGGGAGAAATTTTGCCTTCATGAAGGACTTTATGATGGAACTAACCCACATTTGCAGAAAACCACGCATTGAAAAAGAAAACCAAGAAATCCCCTCATGCTTAGCCTGACCACAGCAGTCTAACCCATGATCCGTCTACCATTGTCTACCGTCTACCATTTTACGTCAGCACAGTTGTCGGTGCTAGCCGGGGGTGGAATTCGTTACAACCAGCTATCGATGAGAGCCCGGGATCACCTCATTGGGAGGCGAGTTTTCTTTTCCCTGAACCATAACGGCTCCATGTTTTCTTATAGTGAAGTATTAAATGGGATAAAGTTTGAAAATAATAAGTTAATATAAGAGCAAAATGTAGACCTATGAGTGTATTCAGAGAACACGTACAAAAAAAAATTAACACTACAGTTAGGTTCTTGTGTACTAAGAACTAATTAGTCTACAGTTTTGTGGTTTACCTCATGTTTACTTAGATTGTCAATAATAAATAAGGTCAAGTTTGACAATTATAGGTTCGTATGAAATCAAACTATAACCCTTTAGGTGTATGCAGAGAATGCAAGGAATCTTTAAAAAATTTACATAGTGCTTACATTACGCTTTTTTGAAATTAAAATTTTACTTTGCTTACAATTTTACATTGCGCTTTTTAATAAAAAGAGAAAACTGAGATCAGTAATTTAAAATATTTTATTAAAATTACCGCACTGTAAAAGCCACATTTTACCACACTTTAAAAAAGGTTAAAAAAAAAAGGAAAACAAAAGTTTTTTTTGTTCTGTTATAAAATTAAAAATTATTAGCCATTTTATTTACATACGACATCTCAGATAGCCCCAGAATTCGAATTCACACTCATTGTTTTTCACTGTTTGTCACCAAGTTCCATACCACGGTACCATGATCATCTGACTGCCTAACAAAGCTTTTTAAGTCGTTCACGCATTTTTGCATGGAGAACACAATGAAATCATATTATGCCTCATTTTGCTGTCCTTAATTCACCTAATATTATACGGCTTTGTCTGGTTTACAAGTATAGAAATATATCTGATTAAGTTCAAAATGTATAGTTTAGTATTAAGAAAAGATGTATAGGCATTAATTATTTATACGAAATCTGAGGAATAATTCATGAATATTTGGATTTCAGAATTGTTTTTATTTATTCAGTTTTTAAAAATTTGATTTCTCCGGAACCAATGGGTCAATTTCTCAGAATTTTTGTATTCTGCCACATAAAATTACATTCTAAATAATTCGTATACCTTGCAATTCAAAATTTTTTCTGCTACCATTAAATAAAATGTAAAAAATTATTAAATAATGTTTTTTGTCAACAGTTATCTTTGTGTAAACGAATTTTATAATTGTGCGTAAAAAGTTTTCGAGATATAACTAAAGATGTATAAAATGAGGTTAACATTAAGGGGTTGAATCTTTCAATCGCTCTCCTGACCAAACTATTAGGACCATACTGCACTAAATAATCACTATATTTGAGATCATGCTTTCGAACCATTAAGATTAAGTCCTAATACGTGAAAGACCGATCATTTGATCAAAAATTATTCATAGACATTCATTTATATTTTCCTCACTCTACAGGAAAATCCTGCTTATTCAGGAAGATCCGGAGACATGCCATCACGAGTGCATCTCTGCAGGAAGAACTGCTCCAAACTTCAGTAGCCCGATCACATGCACGTAAAGTCGAGCACTTCACGATTGAACAGGTTGACGAGGACCAGTACCACATACTCTCGGTCCTTTTGAGGCTAATCAAAGAAGTCACTCACCCGCTCAGTGACAGCAGCCAATAAAGCTTGTCCTCTGTTATCTACTGTGCACTATGTTTTTCTAGCAGATTGCTTCAGATCAGTCTTCAGAAGATTAAAAAAAACTGTTATTTCGACGTTTCTTACGTTAGTTAAAGCAATATCATATTTTCATTGACTTATTTATTCCTGTTTGTTTAATTTTATTAATAACTTCTATTGATTTCATATTGACTCGTAGTCTACCGGTAAATTCCTTTAAATTCTTTGGAATGAGAACCTGCTTGATGTGAATGAGAGCCAGTGGTGAGTTTTTCGCGGGTTATTTATGCTACTCCATTTTTTCATCAATCTGATTTTCATTCGCATCTCATGCGAAAGATTTTAGGCAGTAAGAATGATACCTAAGACTTATTTTTCTAGATGGCGCTAACATCGCTGATTCAAATTTTAATACTTTTAAATCTACTCACTCTCATTCCTTAACTGCAATTTTGACTCAGCTTTCCTTGTTTATTTACTTTTCGATCCCTTTCTGTTTTGACAATTTAGCTACCGTTTGTAACTTTATATTAGAAATTAGTTTTGAAAAACTATACAATCTTAACTTACTCCGCTTCAACAATATTCTTCAAATATTAAGCATTCATAGTAAAATGGGACCACGAGAATGTAAAAAAATTGATGAAACTATCATATCTTCTGGGCTCCTGAATTCTATTGATTATGTTATGACTGATTGTGATGGTACTTATTAATTTATACTATGTGTAAATGCATTCTTAGTAATATAAAAAAGCGCTAGTTAAATTATGACAGATTGCTTATAAGTCGTTTCTGTGTAAAAGTAAACTCAGGAGAAAAAAAAACATTGTTGAAGTTTCCAAGACTTGGCGATCATTTTGCAGCATATCAAAATACAGATATCTTCCCAAAAATATCAATTATGATTTGCTAAAATAGATAACAGTTTGCAATCTGAAGCCTCTCTCATAATTGGCAATTTGGTAAATAAACTATGAATGAATTAAATAAAGGTAAACAAAAGTTGCAGTAAAGCAAAGACCCCAAAGAATATCAGGATATTCAAAAACAGGATTTCAGCAAAGCTGAATGAAATTATCATTAAACCAAGGTGTCTCTGATTCTACACCTTTACCTTAAAAAAATTTTTGAAAAAAGAATGTGTGATTTTCACAAACATTATGATAAAAACTAAATAAATTAACAATTGAAGAAATTATTGTGTCTCTAGTCCTAATATCTGTAATAATCAGGCTACTCTGTAGACTATCCAGATAAAATTCAGAAAAGGAAGGATGTCTGTGCCATACAATATTTGGAACAATTTAATCTCGATTTATTTTTACATTAGCTGTGTTCAAAAATGAGCATTTTTTATTATGATGGATGCAATAAGAGTTAACTTCATGCGTGTTGCAATCTTATTTAGAGCAATATTACAATATTCATCTTTTTTTTTTTAGCTATGCACCAAAATATTTATTTTTCATGATTGAATTCGCCAGATGCTGTAAATTAGCTGGAAATATATTCTTTTTCTATTAACTATTTTGTGCTACCGATTTTTAATTAATTATGCTACAAATTAGAAAAAATTTCTTTCAAAAGAACTTGCTGTGAGGCATGACCACTAAAAAGAGTTAAACATTTCCTTAAACTGTGTAATATTTTTGTTATTAAATTGCATTTTAATTTATAAATTTTTTTATGAATGTTTCTACTGTTAATTTTTGTGTAATTTTTCATTTAAATTCGCAAGTTTTCATATTTTGCAAAGTAAATTAATCTTTAAAAAATATCTGAATGAGGAGGATATTTAAATATAGAAGTCGATTTTAAATTAAATGAAGTTAAACTGCAGGGTATGTATAACCCTATATCTAGGGTTTGCATAACCAAGATGTGAGATTTTTGATCAAATCGTTAAAATCGGTTATTTCAGCCTCTTAATTTCTTTTAAATAAGTAATTGAATTGATTATATTATTTTAAAATAAACAGCACTGTTTGGGATGGTTTGTCAAACGGAAGAAATTTTAGTTGTGGAAACTGGAAAAATCTAGGAAATAAAGTAAACAAAAATATTTTAAATGAACTTATATAACATTTTATAATATACTTAATAACTACTAATAAAATTAACATTTCAACTCTTTTTAATGTTATCTTTCTTATGTTTTATCAAATGATAAGCATTACCCAAGGTTAACTGAGTGTAAACAGTGACAACATCCTAAACCCCAAGCAAAATCTTAGAAGCTTCCAATGTATCCCTCCTCTTATGATAGTTTAGGAGACGATTTGTGAGCAGGCTTGATATTCTAGAAAGTTATATTATTGAGATTATATTTAAATTTGCATTTTATTTTACCATTCATAGGATTTTTCTGTAATAAATTCTAACAGGTTGTGAAACATAAATCTATTTAAGGAAATTAATATTACAACACATGAACAAAATCTTAAAAACTTCTAATGTATCCTCATATGATAGTTTAGGAGAAGATTTGTGATTTACATTTTATTTTACCATTCATAGGATTTTTCTGTTATAAATTTTAACAGGTTGTGAACCATAAATCAAATTAAGGTAATTAATATCACAGAAAATAACGAAATCTTAAAATATTCTAGTGCATCCCTCTTCTTATGGCAATTTAGGAGATTATTTGAGAGCAGACTTGATATTCTAGGAAGTTATATTTTTGAGATTGTGTTTAAATTTACACTTCATTATGCCACAGTAATTGTCTGTATCTTATAAATTCTAAAAGGTTGTGAACTATAAATCAGTTAGAGGAAATTAATATCACTACACATTAATGAAATCTTAAAAACTTCCAGTCTCTTTTATGATGTATTAAGAAGAGGATTTGTAAACAGACTTGATATTCTAGAAAATTATATCCTTGAAATTGTATTTAAATTTACACTTTATTATAGCATTCATAGTATTCATAGTCTAACTTTAATAAATTCTGAAGCAGTAAATCAAAAATTAATTTATGGAAATAAATATCACAGCATAAGACTAATTGTAACCGACCTACCCCCGAAGGAGTTTTCGGATAAGGGTTACGCCCGTTGTCATGTGAACTAAATACTACAAAATTACAGTAAAGTAAAATCAAAACCAAAAAGATTGATACACATAGGAAAAATCACAAGATCAAAAAGATGATAAAAATAAAACAGAATCCTCAAAAGAAGTTAAAAGCGCTTAAAACACCTAAGGGAGTATTAGTAACCAACAATAAAAATAAGGTCAGGTAAAACATCAAATGGTAAAAATACGAAAATCACATGAAATACATAGAAGACTAAAGTAAGATAATTAGAATAAATGAAATAGTCGACTAAAAGTTCAAGTGTCCCCCTTTTTAAAGCTAACTGCCTCTAGAATTAAGAATGTTCTAAGGTAAACCAAAGTTTCTCTAAAAAGGATAAATATTCAAAGATGACACCAGGTAAGACTGAGGGTGCTGAAGTTCACCAAGTTCAAATATCATAGCATAAATAAAGTATTAGAATTGCACTGTTTGAGTGTTCTCTTCAATTTCTATGTTTTGAACTAAATTTAAATAGATTTACAATTTGAATAGTAAATAGCACGAGTCATATTATAAGAAGTGCAAATACAATAACAATATTGAATGCTGTATTTTTTAAGTTTTTATATAAAAATTTATTGAAAGTGGTAACCTGGAAGTTTTACAATGAATTTTAATTGTTAATGCTTAACTTTTTGGTTAACCATTTTTAAGTGTTTGTATAAAAGTTTTTGAAGTCAGGCTTTTTGGTGTACAATAAAAAATAGACATTACCTTCATACTAATTGTGTAATTTCATAATTTTGGTTATAAATATGATTTCAATCTTTTTATTTTATGTAAGATTAAATATTAGTAGTACATAACCTTTGATTCAATACCTCTTTTTGTTGACAGTTTTTCAACTAATTATTGTTTTAATTTTTAAAAAAAAAATTTCATTCATTTATTTATTTTTTTTATTAGAGTTTTAAAATTGTTTAATTTTTTAGGAGTGTTATGGATGGGTAATGATGCTATTCCAGGCTCTGTTGAAGTCATTAATGCTCTCAAAAATATGGTATTTATTTTACTTCATTATTTAGTTTCTTATTATTTAAAAATGTTTACCTATGTTTTTTACTCTAAAATATGCATTATATTCTTTTCTTCTATGCGTGTATTATTATGAATGATTTTTCTATTTATGAAATTGCTATTGCAACTTACTCAAGAATAGATAAAGTTTTAAAATATATAGCAAAGTGTCCTTGTGGATATTATTTTCTTTTGTAATTAATTCATTATTAATCATTATTAAATCATCATTAAAAGACTTTACAAGTGTTTTACAATCCCTAAAAGAACATCATTGTTGACCCTAGCCATAAAACACAAAAAGTCTTAGTTTTATATTTTGTAAAATTTAAGCAAAAAAAAGTATTTTCCAACATTTTATTTATAACACATAGATTCTCATTATATCTATTCGATAAGGATGCTTCCCCTTGTTTTATTGGTACTTATTTCTACTGAGAACTTAATATTTACTAGTTTATATTATCATTTATTTTAAATGCTGCATGTATTATTACAATATGTTTAATTTGTTATAATAATAATGAGAATTTCTTTATTTACTAATTTAATATTGTTTGTATATAAAGGAATTTTATGCAATATTAGCCAGAGTTGGCAAGGTTTAAGACAGAATGGATTAATCCATGGTTTAAACCAGGGTTTAAACTGTCCTGTCTAAAATTGCTCAAAACCCTGTTGTTCAAAGTATATCACAATTTTAAAAAAATAATGTGAAAAATAAAATGTTAATTTTTGAACAAGAAACCAAATGAGGACAAGTTTTTATTTTATTAAAAAAGTTTATTATTATTTTTAATATTGCATTATTTATCCTTATGTGAAAACATAGCTTATCAGTATTAAAAGCATATTTATTCATATTTAAAGGATAAGGTATTCACTTTTGTTGTTCAATGAATTATGGAGCTTCAAAAGTTATAAATCTTTTCCTATTATATATTATTTTCCGCCGACCAGTCTGTGTAGGGGGCAGGGAACTGTCCTTGCATCAGAAAGGTTCTGGGTTCGAATCCCGGGCAAGGCATGGATGTTTCTTTCCCTCTATCTGTGTTCTATGTCCTTTCTCCTTTGTGTGTGAATGTGACCCGCCCTATAAACGGGTTGTGGTAGTGTGACGTGGGCGACGCTGTTCCACCGCCGTGGCTTCGCCACAGGTGCCCACTGGGTAACGAAAAGAAAATTAGCAGTTCTGGCACTTTCTGTGGCCAATGGACAATAGCTCCAAGTGCCCGCCATTAAAAAAAATATATATATATATATATTATTTTCCTGTAATAAGTTAAAGCAAATTGTATATAAAGTATCACATATTTATTAATGTATGAAATTATTATGTGTACAATGGTTACACATATAAAATTTTTATAATTTGGCAATGTTCAAGGTTTTTGACACTTTAAGACAGTAAAACCTATGTGTCCTGTCCAAAACTAGTTTAGGACTTCAAAAAACCCAACCCTAATATTAGCCTTTTGGGCATTTGACCTTGTCTTCCTTGTTCATATCCTAAAATTCTTCACACTGCCTATGATGTTTTTGTTGATAATTATGAGTTCTGCATAGTAACACAGACTAGTTTGCAATGTTAACCTCATGGCCACAATTATGCTACCTCGACATTTAAATTGCCTGCATATTGTAACAGCATTACCCATTAGCCAAGTCACTGTAAAGAGACTATTCTCTACATTGAAGTGCATTTATAATGATTTAAGATCAATTATGAAGGAGGATTTTTTAGATTCAGTTATTTTCTTAACTCAACTGTGAATTAACTTAAATTTTTATTTTCTGTGTAATGATGTTTTTATTTTTTGTTTCTTTTTACAATGAAAATTTTTGATTAAAATCTGAATCTCAAAAGCATGCATAAACAGATATTGAAATTCCTGGAGCTAAGCTTATTATCTATAATTGGTGCTGGAGCATCAAAAATTCATAAGCTCCGGGTCCCATATATCAATAGCAGGTGCGTCATTTTCATCCTCAGAATTGATTGTCTTTTTAAAGTATTATTAGACAGAAGGGAGACTAAAATAAAATTTGATAAATGTTTAAATAAAAATAGAATAGAGAAAGAAATTGCCAGGAAAAGTCAAAACCTATTTGTTGACAAAGCAAAGAATAATTTTATCATTTTTTTTTTTTAAATAAGGGTTATAAAAATACTTAAAGACCTATAAGTGTGCGATTTTGTATTACTTAAGTTTATTTAGCTTTTCTTTATATTTTCTGTATAGTTTTTCAAAAGATTCTTATTTTGAATTGAGTAAAGAAATTCTTTAAAAAAATTTCAACTTTATTTGAAAAATTCCTTATTATAATTAGTTTACTAATTTACATTAATGAAACCAATTAAATTTAAAATGACAATGCATTTTGAAATATAATTAATGTATATAACAAAATTGATATGAATGATTTAAATTTTATACTATACTTATACAGTGTTTTCATTAGAGCGCGAGAATCTCGCATATTTTTTTCTTTTCTCGCATTAAAAAATTATTACCGCGAGAAATTCGCGCATTCTATAAATCAATTTGAAAATTCGCAAATTTCTCGCATTTTGGAAAAAGCTTCGAATTACGCCATTTAGAATAAAATCCGTTTCACTTTTCTTCCTGGATCTTTCATTATATTTCCAACATCTGCCCTGTTCCATCTTCCCTATTTACCAGTATTGTTCAGAACCTTTTCGAACAACAGAACACAACCACGGGACCCCTTTCAGAACACATTTCTCTGCAACCACGTGTTTATACCGTAAGGTTTCTTCATGTAAGATATTCAAATTTTTTTATGTGCTAATGTAAGATGGACAAATACCTTGTAAAGGCAAAATCTTCTATGATGATGCACCAAAAATATTCAATGCTTTAAAAATAGAAGACGTTAAAAATTTATTATAATTAAAGAAAAGATTTTTTTTGAGAGTTTTTGTTTTTTTAGTTTTTAGAAATCTCACTTAATTTTTTGAAATCTCACCCTGTTTTTGAGAAAGGGTGAGAAATTCTCACCCATTTTTTTTCTATGATGAAAACACTGTTATAGCTCGCAAAACTGTACATATAGCTCCCATTCTTTTGTCATTTTCTTCATTTCTGTTTTAACAATTAAGGCACATTTTAATATTTATGATGCCCTTCCTCATAAATTTTTTTAAAAATTTTTTTTATCCAATACTAAAACTTTTCATGCACTTATTGTTTACTCTGTCATTTCCTTGCATAATTTCATTAATGCATGTTTAAATTTACATGATTATATATTTATAACTCTCATCGAAATATTTTTTACTATTACAAGAACTTAATAGTTATATTTCTCTCTCAAAAGACAAAAAAATAACTGTTTTTAAAAGGGGGAACTTTTTTAAAAAGAAATTGAAAACTTTTATTATTAGTCTTATATACTAATTAAATCAAAATTTACAGAAAAACTGATCATATGATCAATTTTTGCTAAATTTTTATAGATTATATATAATCATACATATTTATATAATTACACATGATTACATAATTATACATTTATAACTCACATAGAAAATTTTTTGTTATTATAAGAACTTAATAGTTATATTTCTGCCTTAAAAGATAAAAAAATAACTGTTTCTAAAAGGGGAGAGTTTTTTAAAAAGAAATTGAAACTTTAATAAATAGTTTTTTTTTCTGTTCCCGAATTTATAAAGCATATCGCTGTAAGTAAAAATTTACAAGTGGGGGGGCTGATCAGACCATCAATTTTAGCTAAATTGCTTTAGTCAGAGCCTCAGGTTACCCATTTTGCTCTAGTCCATCTTTAAAGTGACTTAGTACAGTACTTAATCCAAATCTTTACAGTGAATAAAGTTAAACACTGCAGTTCATAATATTGTTTATTATGTATGTTGATTTTATTCATTGTTACTGTACTCAAAATTTATAAAAGTAGTTCATCTATATATTTGTGTGCTGTTACCATGAATGACCAAAGTCTGGAGAATGTCGACTTTCTCTGGTAAACGTCGATAACCACATAGTTGATTTAATGAATGTCCAAAATATCTGTTATTTCTGATTTAATATTAATTTATTCATTGAAATTTTAATATTTATTTCATATTTGAATCTCCAATTAGGATAGACTAGAAAAAACATCAGTGTTGGGAACATCAGGCAAATGTATACTTGGCAGGGGCACTTGACCTTTAAAAAAAATTGCGTAGGGAATATCATGAACATTTATACTGGGAAATGGCACTTGACCTAAAAACTTTCAATGTAGGGAATGCCAGACAAGGACACTTTACTAGATCTAGCATATATTTTAGACATTTATAAAAGTGATTATATGTTTGATATTACCTAATTCCTTCGGAGCAGCTTAGTGGTATCACCATCTTCAGCGACTGCAGGACTGCCTTACAGGTCCTCAGCAAAGGTACCTCAAGCCTAATCCTGAATATCATAGAACGACTTGGACAACTTCAGCGTCTCCGGAAAAAATGCTTCTTGCAGTAGATTCCCGGCCCATGTACCTAGAGTTCAATGAAATAGCTGATTCCTTGGCTAAAAATGCCAGAGATCTCAATCAAAATACAATCCCAACCACTTTGGCAGATGCAAATGCTTTTGCAAAGTCAAGACTATTCACCCCTTTAAAAATCAAAGCCCACGATCAAATAACTAATCTTGACATCGGTAGGAAGACAGCCACTACTCTCAGCAGACTAAGAACAAAACATCATAAAAACATGAAAACTTCTACAAATGGGACTAGAAAATATCAAAACTGTGGCAACTCTCTTAATGTGGAACTGACCCCATATCATACTTTTAACTGCCCTGCAGTCGCTGCAGGCCTTCACCTCTTAAACTACCCCACAGAAGAGGATTTGTATTCATTTAATGCCATAGAAATAACAAAAACTATTCAAGCACACCATGAAATATGATTCAATAGAGGATACGACACCAACCATTACCTAATTAAAATGTACAACCACCAATTTTGATCTTTCATAGTAACATGTGTATATATATATAGAAATTGAGTCAATTTTAAACTAATAACCTTTGAAAAATACTTATTTTATTTAGAGCTTTTAGTTGTATACTCTTTCTAATCATAGTTCATTTTTATTAAAAACAACAAAGAAATTTTGAATAGTTTATTATTAATCAAAATGCATTGTATAGTCATTTATCCTTTTTCTTTTTTATTTTAATTTCTTATTAAAATTATTATGATTTTTCTAGGGAAAGCATATAATTTATGTTACTAACAATAGCACCAAATCCAGAGAAGAATATTTGAAGAAATTTGAGAAACTTGGATTTCCTGCAACTTTGGTGAGTTTTAAATGAGGATGTCTGCTTAACATTTTGAAATTTTTACTAAAATTTGTTATGCTATTTCTACAGAAAGTGCTTATCTATAAGTTAATGTATAAAAATTTAAAAAACAAAAGTGTAACTAACATTGACTGTAATTTATAGTTAATATTTAATACGTACTACCAATATTATATGTTCTTCAAAATGATGTTTTGAACTAATAAAAGCATGTATCAACATTTGATAATTTGAGCAACTTCAGGAATACTCTTTTTTATTGATAATAAATCATTTTTGAAATTTAATTACACAAGTTTATATATATATATATATATATATGGGTCATTCTCACTGAAAAGGTATAAATAGACTAAAAAAATTTCTTAAATTATAATAATTAAAAAAGTGATAAAAATTACATAAATGCCTTTATTTATTTTTGTTATATGTCCTTATAAAAATTGTCAAGTTTTCTATTTTATTTTTTACAAGATTTGAAATATTTTAAATTCTGCCTTGTCCACGGAAGAGATGTAATAGTCAATGGAGAAGACATTTTATGTTATAAAATATAAAATGTCAATGAAGACTAATTCATTAATTATTAATAAGTAAATAATAAAATGTTTCATTATTAGAGATAGAACTACTTCCGATTAATCATGCTGCTATGAAAGGAAACATCCATTTTTAACCTAAGTGTACAACTTTTTAAGTAACTCTTACTGAATATTAATAAATTAAAATGTAAAGATTATTGAAATAGAAATTCAGACTCCACATGAAAGTTGAGTCTTGAGGGTACTCTTTTATGAACATTTTATGCAAGTTAAACTGTCATCCAAATAACGTTTTTGTTTTTTTTCTCTTCTCTTTTCTTTTTTCCCTGGGCACAAATGGCTTGCTCTATCAATTTCTAGAAATTTAAGTACATTTAATCACGATTTTTCTGTTAAATTTTTTTCTGATACAGATTTTAAAGTTTCTTGCTCTTTTTTTTTTTNTCTTTTTTTTTCTTTTTTTTTTTTTTTACTTTCTTCAAGCAATATAGGGTTTTCTTTTAATTTCTGTCTAGCTTGTCTCATACTAAGTGTTTTCTGTTCCCTTCTCTTTTGCATTTGAACATTTGATTGCCTTCTTTTTTATATTTTGGTTTTGCCATTTTTTTCCTAAAATTTGAAGAGAAAAAAATTTTTAAACATCACAGAATTTATTTAGAAAAATTGCCAATATTTACTTCTCCGATAAGAAAAAGTTAAACTTAATTTTTCTTTAAAAATATAAACAAATTAACACATTTGTTCCAATTTAAAAAATATCTATTAAAAGAAAATAGTTTTTTAATTATTAAAATTGTATTATGGTTATCTAACACATTGTCTCTTCCATTGACTGTGTCTTCTCCTCCATGGACTTGTTATGTCCACAGAGGAGACAAAAACTAGTTCTTGAATTTTACTGATTTTTGATTTTAAAGTTACGAAAATGGAGCAGTTCTTTTTATTAAATACACTATTTTTGCAATCTAAAATTCATCTATCAAAAATAAAATAATATTCTCTAACCTTTTTTATGATGTCCACGGAGTATACGATGAGAACTTTGCCAAACCCCATTTGAACACAACAATCCAAAACTGACACCAAAGAGAACAACTGATAGTTAACATTAGAAAATAGAATGGTTATCTTTCCCAGCAGCTGTCTTATAGGGATTTCTCATATTCTGCCCTTTATTGCATATTTACCGAACTATATTAATTGTCCATGGAGGGAGATTTCATTTTTGATGGACAAAGTTTAGTAGTCATTTATTTTATGAAAATACATTTTTTAACAAAAATATTGAATAAAAAGTTACTATAAACATTTAACTAGGTAAAACTACAAAAACCATTAAAATAAAATTTAAATTTTTTATCAGACATTAAAAATTATTTTGTGTCACAGACGTAGGGACGTCCAGGGAGGGGATTTTGAAGTTATATTTATTAAAAAATAAGAATGAAATATTAAATACATTTAGCAGAAATGCATATGATTTGTTAGTTAGAACTTTACGAAAAATGATGGAGAAAAATATTAAGAAATCTGCTGTATTTCCTAATATTTATTACTAAGGGACTTAAAAAATCATCTTTTTGTGAGAATGACCCATATATATATATATATTAGAAATTATATCTTATTTCTAGACATCAATTTCATTCCAATTATGAATTAGCAAAGTGCTGGTTGTATTAATAATCGTTAATTTTTTTTAGTGTTAATAAAATGCTGACCATTGCTTTTCAGTGTCTGAGGTGGTTAAAATGTAAGAATTTAATCTAGATAAGGAAATTGACAAAGGAAATGCATCAGTATAATCAAAATGAATTTATTTGTCTAAAGCTGACTTGGGATAAATATGTGTTGACAAGAAGAAACACCCGAACAGAGTTTTATAAGTTTATCTTTATTATGCATTTACTTAAGTATTAACATTGAGTTTCCACTTTGAAATAATCTGATTTTTTTTAATGAAAAGTAGACAATAACCATATTATCTCTTATAAGATTGGGGAAAATATGAATTTTTTGTATTTTTTTGTTTTGTTATTTTGTTGTTGATTATTAATTTTTGTTTAAGTTGTATAAATAAATTTAAAGAACAAACAGACATTTCTTCAGACATAAGAGTTATAACAAACATAGATCTCCAGATGTAAGAATCATTCAGACATAAATAATCATAATTCTACTGCTAATAATTTTTGCCAAACGGGATTGTGCGGCACAAAAACGAAATCTTTAATTTTTGACTCAAACCTCAGAAACCTACATCTGCATTAATAAGCAGTTATATATCAAGATTCTCCTTAAACATTCCTCTAAAAATGTGCTGAGTTTCATGTTTTTCAAACCCATTTTTTGTGTGGGAAAGTGATAAGTACCTGCGGCAAAAATTTTATTTAACAACAATAGAGCAATCGCTGTATCTCTTTAATGTAGAGAGATGCTGAGGGAATTTAATTATAGACTATGTCAACCTTCATCTATCAAAGGGTACCTCATGATAGAATCGGTTGACATGGTTGATTTATAATTCTCCTCATTGGTGACCTCTGGAAGGTATAAGAACTTGCCAATATTGATGGATCATCCACATTAAACAGTTGATTTGCTTAAAAATATACTATTTAATGTGGATCATCCATCAATATTCTGGAAGGGGAGTAATGTGGCGTAACTACCACTATAAATATTTAATACTAATTCACTAGTATATAAAACATGTTAACTTAATTCTCTCAAGATGTACCTTTTGATAGATGAAGGTTGACATAGTCTTAGATTAAATTCCCATGCATATTAAAGTCTAATAATAAGAAATATTTTCAGGATAGTATTATCTCAACTGCCTACTGTGTTGCAACTTATCTAAAAAGTATGAGTTTTAAGAAAAAAGTTTACATTCTTGGAAGTGGAGGTATTGCCAGAGAGCTGGAAAAAGCTAATATAGAACATTTACCTATTGGGGTAAGGTTTTAATGTGTGTATGTTTTTTCTAAAATTTTGAACTATTGGAATATTTGTTTATGTATATTTGGCTATGTATATTTGGTATTATATATGATTAGCTTATTTTTTTATTGTTTATATCAAATTGTTTCTTCAATAAAAATATTTATTTTTTGTCATGCTTTGATGTTTTTTTTTCTAAATTAATCTAAAAATGTATTTACTAGCATTCCAAATTTAAAATAGACATATTTTTTCCTACAATTTCTATCATTTTTTTATGGAACGTTTCTTATTCTTCTTGGCAGTTATTTTTATTATTATTTATTTTTTCCCTTTTTTTTTCAGTGCTAATGTCTTTTGATAATATCAATAAGAATCTTGTGATAATATAAATCTAAGGTAATCTGATCAAAGGTGAAAGTTTTCAGGTTTTTTAAAGGTTTCTGTCTTTATTAAAAAGTTTTGAGACTGAATGAGGTAGAATGTAATTAAGTTCAGAAGGTAATCAATGAAACATAATGTAATAAAATCTATAACTGCATCTTCAACTGAATCATTCTAAGTCAACACTTAGGCATCAGAAAAATTTTTAAAAAGTTTTGTTATTATTTGTTGAACTGAATGTATCTATGTCTTGCTGAAATATGTATAACTTATTTCCTAACATTTAAAAACCAAATTAGTTTCTTATTTAATCATTTTTCAATAAGTAAAAGTCATTTATATAATCTGTAATCTTTTTATTCCACAACCTTGAGTTGAGTGCGGAAAAAAATCTATTTTTAGACATTCCCTCTACATCTGCCTAACACGTTAACATGGAATTCGAGAACTGTTCTATGGTTGCTAATGTTTTGGATTCATTAAAATTCGTTATTATTCCTCACGCTTTCTTTTCCGCCAGCACATTTGAATGCGTTAGGCTAAGAAAACAAGCCTTGGCATTAAATGTAATTGATTAATAGCCAATACATGGATTCCTTAACTTTCCTTGGCGAAAACTATGCTAACGTATACGTGACACTTACATTTTTGATTTCTCGGTGGATGGAGGTGCCCTGTGAAGTTTAGCCCCACCCTCCGGACAATTTTCTAAATTTATTAATTTATGTATACACAAAAATGAATCATTTTTTACTTTGAAACTGCATATGATTCCATATTTTTTAAAAAAATATTTTTATTATTTATCGAATTTAATTCTTCGTTAAAGCAGTTCCTATTTGTTTCATATCTTCACACTCTGGACAATAAATAATTGGACAAATAGATAATGGTAATTGCCTACAATGATTCATCGGCATCCTTCAACTAATGTTTATCGTCATCTTCAGGATATAACTAATGTTTGTTCCATTAATACTGCCTTTTTCAACTAATGATAAATACATTAACCTCTTCAATGGAAATTTTACACTATCAACTTCCTTTTTCAAACCGAAACTTTTCCTGGACAATACACAACTTGACAAATTAAGATTCAAATTGACGAAATATTTTTTCCAACAAGTATTAAGTTACATAGATTTTTATAAAAAAAATGAATGACTGAAAAAAAAAATTTTTTGCTTTTAACCAGATTAAATTAGCTTTTATTTCATTAGCATTAAATGTTCATTTTAAAAATCAATAAATAATAAGGTTCTTAATCTTAAATAAGGTTAGATTATATCTCTTAAGTAATCAACATGGTTTTCTTCATAAGAGTTTATAATTTCTATTTTTTAGCAAACTTCATTGACTAGATGTCATGTAAAAAAAAAAATTTCTTTTAAAGTATGCAAATCTACAATTAGTTTTTTAACTCTTTCGCGCCGACTGTCACCTGTACATCCCAGCAAGAAACGCACTCACTTCCCGGCCGACACACCGGCGTGCAAGAGCGTTTTCTTGTTCACCTCCGGCCGTCACCCATTAGTGCCAGTGTCCTGGAACGTTTTAAAAAATAAAATTTTTGCCAGAAGATGGCATTGTATGTCCATATGGTTTCAGATACACGTAGATTTGACCTTCTACTCAAAATGAGAGTATTATGACTCACATACACATGGTTTTTAAGGGAAAGGAATGAAGGAGAAAGGAATGTTTTGGAATGGCATGCTTTATGACGGCTCTTTGAATTCGCACGTGCTATTTGTTTACAGTAAGCAGGGGAGGTTTTTTTTCTCGCTGCAGCGTTGGGTATTTCGATTTGCTGTCCAGAGTTTTTAGTGGAATGTTAGTGTTTTCAAATTTTTCATAGGAAAAAAGAATTTTAAGTCATATATTTAGTTTTCAGATGTATAATGTTAAAAGTTATTAAATGGTTAGTACGTAATGAAAATAAAATGTGTAAAATATATATTTAAACAAGAAATAACTTAAGTAAATAAAGTATCTATAGAAATATATATAAAGCATATGCCGTTTAAATACTCTACAGAACATTATTAAACAATGCGTTGATATTTCGGTAATTTCATGGATTTAGGCTTAACAACAAAAGACCCTCCGCCCCTGGGCAGACACTCGCAAGAGAGACTGCCGGCGTCAGCAATAAGCGCACGTTTGCTCTTCCCGTCGCGAAAGGGTTAAACAGCTTTGAACATGCTTCTTTTTATTTAAAATTTTTCAGTCTTGGAAATTTTTCTCCCTTGTGTAAGTTCTACCATCAACTAAAAATATGTATGTGTGTTAATTAGAGAATGTGCGTTACTTATTTGAATATTTTGTGTATGTGTGTTAATTAGAGAATATATTCATCAGAAAATTGTTTACCTTGTTAATTATTAATAAATTTCTTGATTACCAAAACCCTGTGATAATAATATTTAAAATTTCTGTTGTAATTTATTTTCATATAAATTTTTGGTTTGCTTTTTTAGCCGGATCCTGTACCTGAGGAATGGATACCGTGGACTCATAGTTTGAAGTTGGATCCTGAGGTGAAGGCATAAACCTTATCTGTATGATATTTATTACTATAATTTCAGGAATTAATTATTAATGGGCAAATTATTTTTTAAATAAATTTTATTAAAAATGTGAATGGAATCTTAAAGCATGGATATCAAATTCAAATAATAAAAGTAACTCACCCCTAATTTTAAGTCTTGTGTTAAAAGTTTTTTTTTATCAACAAGTTAGTTAATGAATTTTTTAACCCAGTTCAGAAGACAAGAGAACTTCTTTGAACAAATTTGATGGACTTTTTAATAAAACTAGCTCACATTTTTGCTGCATGGGGAAGAAAACTTTCCAGAGTTACCTTTAATGTCTAGGATATTCTAATATTCCTTTTTATAGACATTCTATAAATAGAAATATTTTATGTCCACGCTGTGGTTAGTGAAAGCTAGAAATAGCATATATATTAATCAGTTGAAACCAAAAATCAAACTTTATATTCTATTTATATTTAAGTATGGTGAGTTAAGTTTGTCATCATATCAATTTCCAACTTTTGTGTTATTACATTTAACTCTGAAAACAGAAAGTGCTAAAAATTTACATCACAGAATGATAAATATCTTTGCTGAACAATTTATGTCTACAGTAGAAAAATTTATATCTCAGTCCTGATTGTACAGAATATTTCCTCCCCTCCTTGAGAAGAATTTCCACACAGTGTTTTACTGCCCATTATAATTCATATTTGTGGGTTGTAATTTTACTTTAGATTGTTTTGTAAGATTAATGTTTTCTTTATTCTCCTCTAGGTTGGAGCAGTTGTTGTTGGATTTGATCATCATGTCAGTTATCCCAAACTTACTAAAGCAGCAAGTTACGTGAGAAATCCGGATACTCTTTTTATTGCCACCAACAGAGATGAACAATTTCCTTCTGGCAATACGGGCTTGACTATGCCAGGTATATATTTTTGTAATTCTTCTGAGTTAAAATTTTAACCAATTTTAAGCAATAACAATGGTCCCAAATAAGTCTCTTTTCCACACAAAGTCCTTTTTTTTTTCCATTTGATACATTTTCATCTGATTTTTTTAGTTTATGGTCCCATAAGTCAGTTTTTTTTATCATGTTTAGTCATGGGTTTTTTAAACTAAACTCAGTGGCGTGACAGCCCATAGAGGGCCAAGGCCTACTGTGCCCATCTCAGTTTTCTTGACCTTGGGCTCTGAGGTGCAGAAGCAGATGTTCCTGTCAGGTGGTCAGCCAAACGCGGAACCACCAGTGTTTAGTTCCCAAGCATGCTTGGTACTCATTTATCGACCCACTGAAGAGATGAAAGGCTGAGTCAACCTTGCTCGGCCCGAAGATCGAACCAGGGACCTGTGGCACGACAGCGCGGAACGCTACCGCTCAGCCACCGGGCATCATGGGTTTCTTAGATCACCTTTATCTTCCCGGTTGAAATAAATAAAGAGAACTGTAGGGAGAGTCATATCGACCAATAAGAGTCATGTCAACCTTCAGAGTCATGTCAATCTTCATCTTTGAAAAAGTACCCCAACATAGAATCGACTTAACATTCTTTTATTTGTCTTTTATACTAGTGAATTGTAATTGTAGTGGTAGACACACTATAGTACTCCCCCACCAGAATTATAGCTATAATAGAATTCGATGAATGGATACCACTAGTTGATTCATTCCCGTTTTGTGAGAAGTCAGGAGAGCTGTATAAGGATCACCGTACTTTTGAGTGCTGATCGTGAGAGCTGTATAAAGTTCACAGTCATGATAACTCCTGCATTGCCATTAGAAGTCAAGTGTATACAAGCCGACGATATGAGTGATCGAGACTGAGCGCGAGGAGGTGGATAATGTCGCAGTCACAAGTAGCAAGTCTACTGTTCAATGTGGACAATCCAGCAAAGAAGGCGTGTTCAAATCGAAGTGGGAGTTACTGTCAAGGTAGGCGTGTTCACATCACGTCCGAAGGTCACTAATGTGGGGAGTGTTGTTATCGATGATGTCAATCTTCATCTATGAAAAAGTACCCAGTCATGGTGATGTCAATCTTTATCTATGAAAAAGTACCCAGACATAGAATCGAGTTAATGTGTCTTATATACTAATGAATTGGAATTTTTGTAGTGGTAGACACGCTAGAAGAACAATATTTTTTTTTAAATTTTTTTTTCTGTTAAAGTTAAAATTTGCAAATTAGAATCACTGGACCATTTTAAATTGCTTCAAATTACTGCAAAATAAAGTGCCACTCTTCTATTTTTTTATTATTTTTTTTAACATCGTAAAATTCCGATATGAAAAGGAATTCATAGTTCTCCCTAAAAGGTGTTCATTTTTTAAAACTATGAAGTAACTTTGCCATTCCACGCTCGATTTTTACGTTAGCATTAGAATATTTTAATATCTTGATTTTTTTTTAAAATCTCATTTATATATAGCAGGGAAAATAATAGCTATAATGAAGGTAGGAATTATTCACTAATCTAAATGAAACATAAAGCTCAATTAACAATTTTATAATTGTGAATTTCTAAAGCTAAGATTTAGAAGCTCATCCACTTATTCTCTATTTGCATCAAGTTCAGCAATTCTTTTTTTGAAATAAAATTAGGAGTTATGAAATTTATGATTTGTCTCTTTCATTTCAGTTTTGTAAAAATTTATTTCTATAAACAATTAAATAATCTCAGAATAATAAATTAAATAGAGCTGTCCATTTTTTTTATTTATTTATTTATTTTTAATAAAAATGCTCAGAGTAAAAATTTTATTTTCAGAATAAAGATAAAGTAGAGTTTCAATTCACTGTATTTTAATATCTAAATTATTGGAACTCTACTTTATTAATTAAGAAAGTTTTGACCTTAATTACAAATTTTAAGAAAGATTAATTACTAATTGCTATTTATTTTTATTAACACGTATTTTTTAAAGTTTATTTTTTAACTTTTAAAAGAATTAAATACAACTGAAAATAATAATAAAACCCAATCATTAAACTTTAAAATAACCTACTTTTTTGTTCATCTTAACATTATAATCGACTAAATTGACACTATTATTTATACTTTAATAAATTCACATCATAAAGTATACAGTATTCTTAATAAATGATTGTGCTACTTTTGCTTTTTTATAAATAAATTTATAAATGCTCAGTCTTTTAATTTTTAAAAAGCATTCCTATGTCCCTTGTCCTTAATCTTAAATGTCTATTTAAATTATGACTATTTATATTGGCCATATTCTGTGTTTCTGAGCAAGAAAAAATAAATTGTATGTTAAAAGGATGAATGCTTTACTAGAAAGGAAGGAAGTCCAAAAACATACATAATTTGTGTAGCTTTATGGCTGTGCATGATTATTGATAATTTTATTAAGATCAGTTCTATTAAAACCTGTTGTCAGCTATATTGAAACATATAAATATTTGGCCTCAACAGTAAATTGTGAAGTGTTATAGCTTTGCATGATCATTGATAATTTTATTAGGATCTGTGTTATTGAAACCTGTGATTCGCACTATTAAAATGTATAAATATTTTGCCTCAACAGTACATTATTGAAATGGAAATGCTTTTATGCATCACATTATCCGATTGACCAAGACAGTGATGAATACTTTTATGTCATTCCAAGGTGATATTTACAAAAAATAAATCCACTCTTGGTTTATTCTGGAAAAAACACATTCTAATTTATATTTTATAAAAATTTTAATATTCATATTTAGTTTCTTACTATTTAGAAATATTTTAGTATGTTATTGTATACATATATATTATTTCTAAATAGTAAGAATTTGAAGTTTCTTACTATTTAGAGATATTATATTTGTGCAATAGCGTTCCCCTCTTCCTCTTTTATCTAGTGAAATTATCCTTAATCAAAATTTTTAATTTCTTTTATGTAATTGTGACATAAATGCATGTCTGTGTGTAAAAATAATCTCATAATTAATTTTAAAGCTCTTTTTCTCAATTTTATGAAAATGCCATTTAACATTTTTTTTTCTCAAATAAAGCTCTTCAGTTATCATTATATCTTTGAGCTAGTAATCAAAACTAATGTTTAGTTTAAATTATTTCTAGGAGCTGGAACATTTGTAATTTCTGTTGAAGCTGTTTCAGGCCGTAAAGCTCACGCCTTGGGGAAACCTGAAAGATACATGCTCGATTGTATTAAACAAACATTTCCTGCCATAGATTTTAATCGCTGTATTATGATTGGTGATAGGTAATTTTATTGTCTATGAATTCCCCCCCCCCTTATTTTGTGTTTTAGACTTTTTTTATTGCCATAAAACTTTAGAATTGCTGTTGTATTTGAAACACTGTCTGATCAGAAGATCAAGCCCTAAAAAGTGTAGTCTGAGTCTACTTAAAATTATTTTATGTACATGAGAGATAAAGAGAAAATCTAGTAGTTTCCACTCAACCTTTGGGTGGCTAAATAAAAATTGTCATTAGAAAATGTCAATTACTGACAGGGCCTTATAATCACTCAGGCTTATGGGGCTTATAGTCCCATAAGCCCAGTGCTTGAAAAGGAACTAAATATCTATTCTTAATCTTCATTTTTAACAGTATTTTTTTATTTTTTCTCTGCAATTTCATATTCATAGTTCTGTGTTTTTTAAGGCATTACTAGTTAGATTAATTATTAAATGAATAAAATTATTTCAGTGTCTATCCTTATGCTATTCTTATATGCGTATACTATTTTTATATACCCTTATGCTATTTTTATGGGTGTGAGCTATTTTTGTGTATGCTAATGTTATTTTTATATGCTAATGCTATCTTTATGCATGCTTGCCCAATTTTTATATCCTTTTGCTATTTTTAAGTGTGCTTATGCTATCTTTATATAGCATAAGAAATTTATATCAGGACTTTGCCATAATACGCATCCGAAATGTAAATTTGAATAGTGTGTTAGTATCTAAAAGTAAATATGTGTGACCTGACACTTCAAAAATAAATACAAATATTTACTTTGGTGCCCAGCTTGTAAAATATTTCCAGTAAGCTAACATTTTTAAAGTGTTAAAAAATTTTATATTTTAATAAAAAAGCAATTTTTATTTTCCATTTGGCGGTAAATTTAAACTTACAATTTTGTTAATTTGCTATTACTTTAAAGCTATTCAGAATTATTGATTTGCTAGTGCATTACCTGAGTTTAAAACTAAATAAATTGAATGATTGTTCAATGAATATCTTAATTTGCATGGAGTGTTGTTTTTTTTTTTTTAAATAAGTTATCTTTTATACTTTTTGGTCATTTAACAATATTTGTATTACCTATGAATATCTGACTGTAAATATTTTAATCGTTTAACTTTCTTCACTATAATCATTTATAATTAAATGCATTTTACCTCCTGCTACATTATTCTAAAACAGCCGGCCAGGTGGCCGAGCGGTTAGCACGCCTGACTGCGAAGCCAAAGTCTGCGGGTTCGAATCCCGCTCTGAACATGGATGTTTCTCTCTCTTGTGTTGTCCTCTGTTGTGTGAATGTGGCCCACCCTATGAACGGGTTTGTGGCAGTGTGGCATGGGCAATCACAGGTGCCCACTGGGTGACGCAAAACGAGTAACATCTCTGGCATCTTCTAAGGCCAATCAAATAATGTTCAGTGCCTGCCATTCGAAAAAAATATATATTATTCTAAAATAAGTGTTTAATTAAGTCATTAATTTAAGAAAGAAAAACAGTACCCTTTGTTATATTGTGCTTTTTGAAAACACAAAGTAATAAGATCAGTTTAAAATTATAAATGACAATATACGAACATATTAAGACACCTTTGTTTATAATAACATTATAGGGTGGCTATTTTATAGGAAAATAGTAACATTTTATCGTACTCGAAATAATGAAGAAACTTTATTGAAGTACTCAATAATTGGGGAAAAGATCTTATTTTGGATTTGTGGTACTTAAAAATTCTGTCATTATTACAACATTTGGTACAAATTTTTGATTATGGTTCAATTTTAATCAAAGAATATCTAAAAGCTTAATGTACTTAATACTTCTATAAAATTATATTAAGTTATAATCAATTATAGAAGTTGATGTAACAAATTGATGTTTTTGCTAGTTAATAATCAGAAAATATTGCATTCATAACAATGTTTGTCTTCAATATTTGGAAAGCACAAGTATTTCATCGTTTATACTAACCGACCACAAATGTTGCCCTCAGTAAGCTACTAGCTATCTTTGTCATACCATAAATAGCTGCACTAGCAGCTGTTGAAAAAAAGAGTATTTGTAGTCCATTCTACTGCTTTACTTTTTATTTACTGAAATTCATTTGTATTTTAACATTATTTAATATATTTTTTTTTTTTTAAATTTTTAACTTTAATAGCAAATTAAAATGGTTTGTAATGAATTTTATGTAGGTAAATAAGGGGAAGAAATTCAGGGAAATTTTATAAAGTCAGTCTAGAAAAATCAGGGAATACATTTTTCCATGCTGTGTCAGAAATTAAAAATAGCATGTAATTTTTTTTTTTTTTATTCTGACGCATTTTTCTTCTGTTGTTAAATTTTTTCATTTATTTAGTTGCTACACTTGGGAAACATTTGACTATTTTTCAATTACATTGTGTTTCCAGAGATATATAGAAAAATCGAATCACATCTTTTTGCCTTATCAAAAAAATGTATAGGAAATTCAATTATAAAAATAGAATAATAGAACATTTTTGTGTATTTATATTTTTTTTCATTGAAAACAAATCCGATATATCCAAATGTGCAGAATAACTAATGGCTAATCTAACAACTATTAAGTTTTGTTACATCAATTGTAAAATATTTTAGAATGACCTTTGATATATATATTTTTTTTTTTTTGTAATATCTTAAAATTATTTATTGAAAGAAAAGATTGGCAACTGATTAAGAGTCTCTAGTGTTTGTTTTATTTTTATTACAAAATCACAATGAGATTTAGTTATTTCTCTCACCATATCCTGTTAAAAAATGTTTTTATTTCTATTTTAATATTAGAATTAATAACCTTTTCTACAAAGTATGTTAGCGTTTATTTCTATGTTTTAACCAATGTGTAAACTGATCTATATTGCATATTTGTTATTGTATACCGTGGTCTGATTCTTAAGATTATTATTATTTTTATTTTCTATAGATTAAATACAGATATTCTTTTGGGTACAAGACATGGTATAAAAACCCTTTTAGTTCTGACTGGCATTAGTTCACTAGAGGAAGTAAGAGAACATCAGAAAAGTTCAGACGCTGAACAACATTTGTTGGTACCTGATTATTATTTACCATGTTTAGGTGATATGTTGCCACTTCTTAAAAGTTAATTACATAATTATTAGAAAAATTTCTCATGATTAAGATTTTTCAGTAGATTTACTATTTTGTTATTAAGAGTACGGATTGTTGTATCTTCAAATACATAATAAATAGATTCCGTCAGGATCAATTAAATTTAAAAGTTGGTATCGAATACTTTGTAAAAAGAACATTAAATATCATATCTGTATTTGTGTTGTTTTAAAATATTTTCATCTGAAATATTCAACATAAATATGATCATATAAAAATTAGTATGAAAAGATTTTAAAATATATTTGTTAAAAGTGTTGTGTTATTAGTTCAGATAAAACTTTCAATAAAAAATGTTCTGTTATTAGGGTTAATATCAAATCTTTGTTTTTATTTTTGATTTTTTCTTAGTATTTTTCCTAAATTCAGTATTTATTGTGCAATGGTTTCAATATTTATTGTGCAATTGTACAGTAATATCTTAATATGCTGCTAAATTGGTATCTCTATGTAATTTCAGTATTTTCTATTTTGATTTGGTCACATCTCTGATTTAGGTAGCACTCAATTACAAATATCCCAGAAGTCAAAATATGAAAACATTTCTTAATTCGTGTGTTTTAAGGATCTTAAGTGCTAATTTATTTTATTTATTAATTATTCTTTTATTTATTTATTATTATTATTTTGCATTTAGCAAAAGTATTATTTATTTTAAAATTTTTCATTGCATTAAGGTTCATATTTTCTTAGAATTTTTATCCCAGTATGCAAACACAAACCTTGGTTAATTCAGCTCTGATTTTCTCATTTTCACGCATAAATATACATTATTACAAATCTGTTAAACATTTTGTTATAATATATTAGATTATTAGAAACACAAAAGTAGTTTAAAATAGTTTTTTATTAAATATTTTTCTGAGTCTTCCCTGAAAATATATGAGACACATATTATTTTAGATTTATAAAAGATATAAATTTAAAATATCTGTGATATCCTGGTTTTATTTAGGAAATTTCCTCTTAAAATTACTTTTTTAATGACTGTTTTTTGTATGTGTGTTTTTCCAATCTCATTTAAATTCATTTCAGTTTTCATTTAAATTATTTTTCTTAAAAATCAATGGAATTCTTCAGATAAGATTTGTATAAATCAATATATTTTGCCATATTTTGATAAGTGATTATTTGATTTTGTTAACTTAATTTCAAGGTTTATATTTCATTTTCACTATCTATACAATTTGCGTTGTGCTAATATGTGATAAATTTCAATTTAGAATAGGCTTTTAAATTTATATTTATGTAACATCTATTCACATGAATTGTATACTTCAGAGATCTGTTCGCAAAAGGATGTTAATAACTGTAGTTTTTTATAATCTAAATTGAATGCAGAATAAAGTATGTGCAATTGTAATGAATTTTTCTTTATGTTAAGATATTAAAAATGTTTATTCATTAAAGAAATTAACTGTTTTTTATTAATATTTCTTTTTAAATTTGTATAGTATTATTACCATTATAAAGTATTACTATAAGTTGTAACAGTATTTCAAATATTATCTTTGAAATACTGCTATAACGAATCTGAATGATGTGAAAATGTATGTGATTTAAATGGTACCTTAAAAGTATTTTTTCGTCTATTTTTTTTAACAGATGAATAAATTTATTATCTTGTAAAATATGATTTTAACATTAATAACCTCCTATAATAGGAGGAAGCTGCAGAAAGTTAGAATTGTATTTCATTTGAAAATCAAAAGAACATCTGAAAGAATCAATAGTATTTTAAGAATGGTAAAAAATATTTTAATATTTGTTCTTCATTACCTTACTTTAATTTGTCAATTATTTATAACTATAGAGTTCTTTCTGAAAATTTTATATTCTGAAACTTATGTTTTAATGCACTTTAGTGATTTGTGCTATTATTATGCCTCCCCCCATCTTATATTCATTTATAATTTTTTTTGACAAGTAATTATGGTTCTAAACTCAAATTCCAATTCATTATTGTTGAATTTTTTAATGTTTTAAGGAGATTTTGAAAAGAAGAACATAATAATATTAATTCATGAAATTATTGCTGTATAAAATAGAATAAGAACAAAACCAGCGAGGGTTCTGTTCAGTCAGATTTCAAAAGCACTCTCCATAATATTTCATGCATTCTAAAATGTTTCAATATTTGGAACTGTATTTTTCAATAATAAAACTACTGAATTTTTCTTAAAAAATGCTTTTTTCATGGCAGAATTAAATTGGATTATTAAATTTTACAATCCGGAAAACTTATAAAAATTTTAAAACCTATGAAGTTGTATAATATTTAAAAATAAATTTTTTATTGAAATTATTTTATACTAATTACTTTTTATGATACAGAATTTGATAACCAGGAACATAATTTATACCAAATAAAAATTTGTCTCTTGTTTCAACTGGTTTAAAAAAGTTTGTGGATTTAACTTTTTAAATAGAGTTTTTGTCTATTAGAAATATACTACAACTAGTCTTCCCAAACATCTGGCTTGTTATTATTTTTGTTTTCCATAAAATCACTTTGATATTAAGAACACTTTTTCAGCCCTAAATAACTAAGCTTAAATCCATGTTACACTGTATTAAATCATTTGACTTATAAATTCAAAGCATGCTGTTATTTTTCTATATCTTGATTTATGTCAAATTTTTATGGACTCTTAACTTTTTATTAAAATATAGATAAGTGATAATATGTAACGTTTGAAATCTTTGAAGATGTATAAGTATTACGGTAACAAGCCAACTTTACAAAGCTGGCAAAAGTCCATTTGGCAAATGCTTAGTTATCTAGGGTTAAATTATCTTTATTTTTTTCTGTGAATCTATTTTTTTTTTTTTTTTTCGAATAAATTCTAATTTGTTATTCTACTGTTTGTTTTATTTTGATTTTTTTTCTGCTAGTCAATGTTCTAAAATTTTAAAAAATTATTTCATTTTTATAATTTATTCAGTTAATAATTGCAGATTTTTTTATTATTTATTAAAATTGATTTTACTTTTTTTGTTCTTGTTATACCTTTTCAATAAACTATTCAATGTAAATGGGATTATAAGAGTATAGTAATAAAAATTGTATTCTTAATTGGAGTCTAGTAAGTTATTTTTAGTATTTAGCAATGGAAATTGCTTTATTTTTTAAAAAAATAATTTTTTAATTTAATTATTGTTATTAATTATTTATTTAATAATAATTTAGTAATGAAAATTGCTTTTATTAAATGATCATTTAATCATTTAAAAAATGTTATTAGGTTACCAAAATGAATTATTAAGCATATGATGGCACTGAACATGGGTAAGGGAAATTACTGGTTTGAAAAACTCAAGGTGTTCCATAATCACTGCCTTTAATACATTAATTTTTAGAATCCCTATCAAAATGGATATAAATTGGAGGTCTCAAATTTATATAGAAGCAAAAAAGAACAATATCTAATCAATCACTATTGAGGAGAGCTGAGTTTTAAAAAAATCAAAACCACTTTGATGGCCTGATTAAGGATATTTCTGATAACCGTCTTTGAACTGTATCAGGTCTCTGACAATCAAACAAGTTTTGATGTTTTGCGACCTGTCTTCCTAAGTTATATTGCAAACACCAAGTACATTATTATAGTATAGGTAACCCGTGTGGGGATTGTAGTTATCGACAATGTTAACTTTCATCTATGAAAAGGTACCCCTCCGTAGAATCGAGTTGACATGTTTTTTCTAGTGAATTGGAATTATATTTCTGTAGTGGTAGATGCACTACAACCCGCTTTTTTAAACTAAGGCTTAAAAATAAATCAGAAGTAGTAACCCCGAGGTCTTACGAGGAATATTAACCCCTAGCGCCACCTGTGCTTAGCTTTATACGGTTATCCTTCAGTAAAAGAAAAAATAAAATGTTCTTATACCAGTGCTTTTAAGCATCCGGTTAAGAAGCAGATCTGATTAGGATTAAAATAAAGAAATGTGGTCGGAACAAATGGGATTTAAGACGCATTTTTACTGTGAGTTACACCCAATGCTGGACCTTGGAGCTCATAGTTTCCTTGTCATCTGGGTTGTGTTTAAAAGATTTCATAGTTGTACATTCTTCTTTATCAGCTAGACCTGGACTGCTGAAAAAAATTTTTGCGGAATAATTTTCTACTTACAAGTGTTTTCCAGTTCCTTGCCAGTTGCACCAGTAGCAATAAAGCTTGGCAGTTTAACGCTTTTCCTAAAATTAAATAATGCAATACAAAAACTCATATTTTAAGTCATTTAAATAGCATTATATCATTTATTTTTAATTACTCCTTCCACATTACGCACAATATCTACCATCTCTATATCACCGTTTTTAAGGCATTCTCTGAACAATTTGGAACTTAATGCTTTGCGGTTCCACAGTGTCCAAAACCTTCCAGAATCCGCCGCTTCGTGGGACCTCATTGGCGTCCATTTTCAAGAACTCGCTGCTTCGTGGAACCTCATTGGCCTCCATTTTCAAGGACTCACCGTTTCGTGGTTCAACAGTGACAACCGTTTACTTCGACATCATGACCATGAATCCATTACATTGGTATTTGAAATGCTAATTAGAGTGAGAAAAAAATTTTGCAGAAACTCTCCACTTCGCGGGTTCCTCTTGACCTTTGCTTTCACAAACCCACCACTTCGTGGTTTCACAATAGCCCCCTCTACCTTCACGAATTCTCTGTTTCTGGTTTCACATTGCATTAACCCCCGTATATTCACGAAAGCACCTATACGCGGGACCACAAAAGTGTATTTAACTACCTATACCTAAAAATGTCTTATCCAAAAAAAGGGGGAATTCATATTTACAAGTAAAACAATCTCTTCAAACACAACGCCACAAAAATAAATTTCACTACTGATATTTAAAATTGTATAAAAGAAAAAAAGAGGCAGAAATATTATGTAGAATAGAATTCGTGACACTCGAATACGCCATCTGGAAAGAAGTATGTTCTATGTCTTGACCATCCCTCCTTTTCACAGTCGTATGGGAATGTACTACGATAATTTTTCTTTCTATAGCATTTTTCGTATTTAATTGCCAAAAATATTTGCTCAAATTTCTACGACACTTTCTTTAAGAACTATGCTTAAGGCAGTTTTGAGTTATGTATATATATATTCCTAACTTAT